ACTTGCTGTTTGGGTGTCTTGCAATTGTGTTGCCTTTCCAGTGTTTGCTCTTACTAATACCACTATTTCCAATTTCTTTTGGCTTCAGAGCTCAGGGGCTGCAGAGGTAAAAGTTCACTACATCGGTCGCTTACCTTGCAGAAAGGTTCAGTAGAGGAGCTGGTGTGAATTCCAGAAGCTGACAGAGCTTTAGCTTACAAGTGTATCTTTGTGCTGGTCTGCAGAAAAACTGTGGTTTCTCAAATGTAACTTGAAAATGTTGTTTTTCCCCCCCCAGCATTACAACACCTCCCTCCTTGCTGCTGCAGCTGCGGCAGTTTCTGCATCAGATGATCAAGAACTCTTACACTCGCGGTTTTTCCCATACACTTCATCCCAGATGTTTCTCGATCAGCTAAATGCAGGAGGAAGCAGTACTCTGCCAGCCACAAATGGTAGCAATAGTGGCAGTAACAGCAGTCTTGTTTCCTCCAACAGCCTGCGAGAGAATCATGGTCATCCAGTTGCAAGTAGGAGCAGCGCGGACACGGCGTCGATCTTTGGTATCATACCAGACATTATTTCATTGGACTGAGTTTTGGAGGAAACGAACTTGTCGGAGGAGATCGTTGTGCTTGGTTTTACCTTATTATGTTTAGAGACATAGACAAGTTTTTTTCCTTTTTTAGGGGAAAAAAATTTACGTGTACAGAGAACAAAACTATATTTTCAGTTTTACTTTTGTATATAAACCTAAGATGGCCTCACTGGTAAAAATAACAAAAAAAAAAATCACAAAACAAAAAATAACAAAAACAACAAAAAAAGAAGCTTCAGTTTATGGACACTGAAGACTTTACACCTGTGCATTTGTCATGTGAGTTAATTTTTTTTTCTTTTTTTTTTCTTTCCTTAGTGTGGACACAAATGGCATTATTTTCTTCACAGTGTAACATAAGTGGGAAAGGAACTGAACTTTTAAAGTTCTAACTTGTAGGAGCTTTTTTCTCCTCTTGGAGACATTTACCTTTGGTGGTGGAATCTAATTCCCCCATCCCATTTTTAGTGCAGATTTTTTTTTTTACACTTAAAGTGGAACAAACCCTACCCACTGTTCCACAGCATTCCCTCTGTTTGCAGGACATATAGCCTTTCAGGAGTGACTTTTTTCTTTTCTTTTTTTTTTTTTTTTTTAATTCCATGCTTTAATCAAGTGTGTTGTAAGCTCATTAGTGCACCAATTATCCTTGTGGGCCAGACTCAGTAAAACCTTAGGCTGAGCCATTGTTTGGCTGCACTTGCGCGAGACAAGACAGAGAACTTTTATAGACTCTAGCCCCAAATAAAAGCATTGACACATTTGACTGTAGGTTTTTGTTTCTAATAACTTACTATGAAATCCTATTAAAATAACTATAAGGTCCTAATCAGCAAAATATTAAGCATGTGTCAGTTTTAAATTTGTGGAACTGCTTGTGCTTTCAAGTTAGCCATGCGTATGTAAGCGGCCTCTCGAGCCGAGGCCTTCCTCATTCTGTCTGGGAAAACCTACTTTTAGTTGCAGTAGAGCAAATTTCTGCTTAAAAGTGAACTTGTCGACAAAAGGAAGAAAATAGGAATGCCAACGTACTCTTGCATGGTTTGTGCAGCTGATCCTGGTCTTGGTGCAGCGTCTTCTGACTTCACACTCATCAGAGCTAAGTTGGTAGCTAGTGTTCGACGCGAGGGTCTTCAACCAAAAGCCAACCCGATAACTCGCCCCAGGGCCCATGCGCTGAGATGAATGACCTGTGGAAGTCTCTTAGGGTAATGGGTTTCAAATTCGGTTTCTTCTTTTTTGGCCTTTGAAGTATTTGGATTGATTTCCCTGTTTTTCAGTATGTTTCTGTTGAACTCAGAGTCATACTTGCTTCTTGCTTTCTTCTCTTATTTCTTTTGAAGTTGTGCATGACATAGGAAAATCTTTTCTTTTGTTTGTTTTTAAAGACTGGTGGGTCATTTGGGCTGATCCATTCTTGTTAAAGAGTGAATTGTGTAAATAGCTGGAATGCATTTTTTCAGGAGATTCTTTAAAGTTAAGAGTAGGGGGAGAGAAGGAGGTGATTCTCTTGTGTCCCAAAGTCCATGTCAGAGAGAGTAAATATTTCCTCTGGTGTGAAAAATATTTTTTTAACTGGTTGAAAGTGCAGGTAACAAGTTTATCAGGAAAGATAGTAAGGAATACAAAAAAAAAAAAAAAAAGGCAGATTCTTGTCTGAATTTTTAATGTCCAAACTATTGATTGCAGCTAGTTGCTTTGAGCATTGACAAGGGCCACCTTTTGCCTATGACGTTGTCTCAAAATCTTGCATTGATTAAAAAAGAAAAAAAAAGAAAAAAAAAGGAAAAAAAAAAACTTTATCCAAGTAGCATTAGGTATTGCTGTATGATCAGTTGTATGGTTATTTGAAAGGTTCACATGAATATGTGGCATCAAAATTGTTTTTAGTGTTTTTACAGCATCACTCTGCCACTATATAGTTGACTTGAATTTTGGAAACAAATGTTTGTGTTTATATGTATATGTGTGTGTATATATGTATTTATAGATCTGTGTGTGTGAGTTAAAAGTGAGTTAAATAGTTTTTCCCATGCATGTGTATTTCATACATATCTGGCTGATATATATATATATATATTTCACCATACACCAATTTTATAATTTATTAAATGTCAGTTAAAAAAATAAATAAAAGGATAGAAAATGGGAAATACTTATTTTTTAAACTCAGTCTGATTTTGAAGTGATGAAGCCTACATTAGGAAGATATCTCATCCGTTTTAGTCGGGAAGCGGAGCCGGGCGCTGCGCAGAGCTCGCGGCCGCCGTGCTGGAGGCGAGCTGAAAAGCTGCCGCTCACCTCGCCTTGGGCACTGCTCTTAACACCTGAAATCCCCCCGGGAAGCGACGTCCTTTTACTTGGGCCCTTGGAAGATGCCGGCTCCTCTTCCTCACGGGCGGCCGGGAAGGGGAGGAAGGCTTCTCAGCTCCCCTTGGTCCTGGTTGAAGCTCGTGGCCCTGCAAAGACGGGACAGAAGCGCTCTCAGATCCTCCCCGGTGCTGTTAGTGCCCCGTGCTTTGTGAGTATCCGTGTTTCATACCGAGATGTTCGTTATGGCTCATAACTCTCTGTGCCTCTGACCACGGTTAACGTGACTTGGTAGAAGTCTCTGTCCGAGTTCTCCGCAAATTCCCTGCAAATGTCAATCCCAAACTCCATCCCTCTCCCTACGCCGGTTGCTCCGGAGGTGCCGGGCGCTAAGCGGGCGCTTGGCCGCCTTGCAGCCCTGCAGAATTCCCTGGAGCTGCCGAGGTTCCTGTGATCCCTAGGGCAGTTAACCCTCCTCCTCCTCAGCTCCTTGCACGCAGGGGCGCCTGGAGCCTGTAGCACCATGCGGGAGTGCAAATACACCCGGAGTCAGTCACCCTTCAACAGAAGGAATTCCCTGCCAGGCTCCAGCCATGCTGCGCATTCCCAGCGCTTCCATAGCTCCCGGGGYGGCGGCAATTCCAGGCGAGCCCCTTCCTCTCCTGGCCAGGGCTCCCAGGGATGGGATGGGAAGGGAGGGATCCCACCGGGCTCCCTTGGAGCTGCCCCAAATGCAGAGCAAAAGACTGGGGAAAAGGTCTCAAAAATCACATCCATGCTGCAATTTAGCATTTCAGGGTTTTAAGCACATCTTTAAATACATTCAGAAAGGATTTTGTTTTATCACTGCGACTGTTTCTCTTTTATTTTTCTTTAAACAGAGCTTAGATTTCTAGCAAGGGAAAATTGCTGGTGGTCCCCCAAAGTGCTGCTGTTAATTGTTTTAATTAACAAAGGGAAAATGTATATATAAGCAGAGTATTAAAATTACCATTAATTCCATGAATTTAAAGCTGTCGTTCATTGCCTTAAAACTTTCTCTTAGTTTCCATATGGCATGCCAAACCCRTAAACGGCTTTTAAAAATGTATAGTAGACCAATGTCAGTTTGTATAAAAGTACCAAGTGAAAATATTTATTATATGCATTGGAAAAAAAAAAAGAAAAAAAAAAAAGATGGTTTACCTATTGAATGTTACCTGTTTATGTAGAAATCTTTAGATGTAATAAAAAGCATTCATTTACCTTGTGTTTTTTAAAAGCAATCAAAAAGAAAACGGGGCGGAGGGGGCGGCTTTGTGACCGCGAGGGCTGTAAAGAGCCCTTTGGAGCAGGAATGTTCTGGTCCTGGTCAATGGGGAGGAATTAAACTGGGTGCCGGGTCGTTTATAATGTGTCCTAATGTCCTGGGGCATTTATTTATTTATTTATTTATTTATTTATTTATTTAGTTTGATATTAACTGTGAATAGGGCAAAAAAAATGGGGAGGGACATAGTGTCTTCTGATGCTGGCTGGGATCAGTTCTGTGTTTTCTGGTGAGCCCCGTTGAGCTGCTCGTAGCCCTGGGGCTCCCGGGGAAAAGCGGGATGGCTCCAGGTGGGAATTGCTCCCTGGGGAGCTGAGCTTCCCTGCGCGGCGCTCAGCAAGGTTTGATGTGAGCCGCGTTTCTGCCCGGGTCTCCTGCGCTCCGCTTCTCACTTTCTAACCAAGTCCACGTGCAGGTTGGTCGTGGTTGGTTGCAGTAACCTGCAAGGTGGTAAATAGCTGAAATGAGATGAAAGAGCCCTGTTTTGGGGCACGTTGGTTCCAATCCATTTAATGGGAGGGAAATCTCCTTGCTGCTCCCCTCCCTGTGCAACACACGGAGCAGGATCCCTGTGCTCCCAGAGCCCTCCCAGTTTCCTCCAGCTCTGCCTTGGTGCATGAGGGAAATCCCGACCCCTTGGAATAGAGCGTGGGAGCAGAGTGTGGATTTGGTCACRTTTTGGGATGCGGTCACTGTGTGACATTAACTCATAATTTGTCCTGTGATCTGTAGACTTGGATGCATTTGTAAAATGATGGTTGTTCCRTAAGCGTGACACCTCTTACACACGGGAATGTTGCATGCGGTTTGTTTATTTAATAATTCACATTTTCTGACAGCGTTTTTCTGGAAARGGGAGAAATCCGTAAGCTAAACTCAAGGCAGAATGTGGAATCTTAAAGGCAAATGATGGTTCCCGGGTCTGGCCAGTTGAGCAGGAAACTCGAACTCCAAGTTCAGGTCCTGCTAAACCCGATCCCTTGCTTTGAATTTCAGTAGTCGGCTACTGGGAGGCTGATGGTGCGGACGAATTCCTCGTATTTTATTGTTCCGTTTGGGCCAACCTTGGCCTCTTTGAGCAGGTCATCCACTGAAAGAAAGGGTAAAGTAAAACAGAGATTGAGAGATYAGAGCAGAGAGCCTTAATTTGCCGTGTAGGGATGTGTTGAGATGGGAGAGAGGAGGCGGCTTCCCGGCTCAGCTGGATGTAGCACCTGGAACAGCTGGGCTTGGTGGGAAGGGCTCCTGGGAGCCCTGTTGGGTCCCTTGCGGAGCCCCGAGCGGGCTGCCCGGGGGGGTCCCTGCGGCACAGACCCAAACCGGCCAGTTCTGCCAGTAGCACCGAAAAGAACTGGGAGTTAAAACGGCTTGTGTCTCGTTGGGTAACAGGACCCCAACGGAAACTGAAGCGAAGGCTTTTCTGGAGCCCCGGGCCCGAGTGAAATCGAGTCTGCTCTGCCATCAAATATTGATGGTGCCGAGCCCGGGTCCACAGAGCACGGACACAACTCGCTGCATTGGCGCCCGCGGGGGCAGTGCCGGGGGGTGGCAGATGCCGTTTGCCCCCCTGGATAGGGGCAGCCCTTGCTGGGATCCTTTCATTAGTGCGGGCGTCCAAGGACGTTGTGGCGTGCGCTATACGGCTGCCTATAGATAATGTATAGAATAGCTCGGGTGAAAGGGGGGTCTGACGGTTCTTGGTGTCCTGGGACCCCCCAGTGTCCCGTGGAGCAGTTCGGAGGAAGCAGGGGGTGCGGGGGCACCTGAGGGTCCTTTCCCTATTGTTTGGGGCCTTGGGCCATTTGATCCCAAGCAAAAAGCCCCGCTCTGCTCCAGGTTCGTCCCGGCAGTGCTGCGGGATGTGCCAGGTCCCCAGGGTGCTGCAGGAAGCGTCTCCGGAGCCTGGGACGTCGGAGCTTTCAGGAGCCCCTTGTGGGATGGCGCTGAAAGACAGTGAGTCATTCCCCGGGAAAAAAAGCAGGATAAAACGTTTGGGAACAGGGAAACGGAGGAGCAGGGGTGGTGGAGGAGGGTACCTTCCTGCTCGGAGAGCTTCTCGCCCAGCCTGGTGAGCTTGGCGCGCAGCTCCGCCGCCGAGATGAAGCCTCTGCGCTGCCTGTCGATCATGGACAGCGCCGTGAGGATCTCCCTCTCGGGCTCCTCCTGCTTCAGCTGCCTGTACATTATGTTCAGAAAGGTGGAAAAATCCAGTTCGGCGTTCCTGTCTGGAGAAGGAACAGCGGGTCCCTTTGGGATGCGGCATTGGGATCCCGGCCCCACCATTCCCGGTGCCTGGAGGCTCCCGACCTCAGAGCAACTGGATTTTAGCAGCCCACCAGGCCAGGGAGCTTCTCCCRTCTGCTGCCCCGGGCTCGCTGGTCCCTGGGCGCTAGGACCCGTTTTTCGGGGCCGCGCTCTGCTCACCGATGCGGTGCAGGTGCAGGTGCCGCTGGACCTCYCCGGGCGTGGGGCTGGCGCCCAGGCAGCGCATCACCACCAGCAGGTCGCCCGCCCGGATCTTGCCCTTCTGCTTCTTGTCGTACAGGGAGAAACACTCCTTGAACTCTAGTTAAAAAGCGGAAGGGAGYGTGGGAGCAGCTCGGGTTACCCACCGGGCCGCGCTGGGGGTCTGCCTGGCATCGGGTGTCCCGTGGGGTGTCTCCTTTCGGGAAGGAGGAGGATGAGTCTCCACTGCCGCCTCRGATGGGAGATGGGAGCCTCGAGGGGGGTCCTGAATGGGGCTGCCCTTTGAGGTCCTTGGGGTCCCGGTCCCATCCCGCAGCCGATGGGAACTGGCTCCTGGCTGCCCGTGACCCGGCTGCGGCAGCTGAGCAGATTTGCAGTAATGCTCTTATTGGAGCTGCCTGCGGCGCCCGCCTGGTCCCAGCTCCCTTGTCCCCCTTGTCCCCCCCAYTGTCCCGCTCCAGACCTGCGACTGCTGACCTTAACTTTCCTGCTGGCCGGAGGGCAGGGTGAGGCGGGAGCGGAGCACAGGGACCTCTCCCCTGCCCGCCTCAGGTGCTGATCTGGGCTTGCAGCAACTGCCCCCATTCCCCCCCACCCCGGGGGCTCCCTGGAGCCGTGGGAAGCAGCGGATCCCGAATCCCGTCCGAGCTGCCCGGATCCTGGTCCCGGAGGCGGGAGCAACACTGTGGGTCGASTAACCCGGCTGAAGAACAAGCGAGCGCCACGTACCGTTAATCTGATCCTGGGACAGAAATTTCGCCTGTGCGGGGAGAGAAGAGAGAGAGAAAGGAGCAGCTCTGCGGGGCGGCGCGGGGGGCTCCGCGGCTCGGGGTCCCTGAGCCGCTCACTCACCATGGCCTGGGCTCCTTCCCCGCTCCGCTCCGGCCGCGGCTCCTCCCGGGAAGGGCTAAAGTCCGCGGTGTGCGCCCGGCGCCGCAATAAATACCCGGTGCCATGGCTACGCGCCGGCCGCCTTCCCAGCGCCGGGAAGCGCCGGAGCGCCGCACGGAGCCGCGGCCGGAGCGCCCTGGGAGCTCCCCCGGCTGCACGGAAGGCAGTTTCAGCCCTTGGGGCCGCTCAGGTGGGTGCAGGAGGGGATGGTCTTGCACAGGTCCCAAGGTAGGTGGATTCTCCGCTGGATTTGTGCAAAGGAGGCAGCTTGGGAAGGACGGCGGGACATCTACTGCTCTGCACCCCCTCGGCAGGAGCCCTCTGCTCCTCCRGAGCATCAGCAGCCCCGGCCAGGACCCCCGTTCCCTCCTGCTCAGACCGCCCCGCTCCGCGAGGCCGGGCACCACACGGAACGGCTCACGCTGGGTCACTGATTTATTGGAAATAGGTCTACATTAGAAAAACTAGATTTTTTTTTTTTTCGCTCTAAAATATCAAAACTTAAAAACTTTCCTTAGGTGCATGGAGGTTGTTCATGTGCAGGGTGTAGAACGCCCACGGCTCGGGGATGTAGATGACGCCCGGGTACTTCTTCCTGAGGATTTTGTCATTCCACAGCCACATCACCCAGACAGCAATGAGCAGCAGCGTGATGATGAAGGAGTAGAAGAGGAAGAGGCCGTTGCTGTCCAGGACGAGGCCTTTGCGCTTCTGGTGCATCACTAAAGCCATCATGGCGAAGAAGGTGAAAATGTAGAGGATGAAGATCTGCCCCTCTGTCACGAGATACCTGCAGAGCAGAAACACCCGGCAGTGCCAGAGCAGCTCAGCGGGGCTCCCCGCGACCCCCGGGGCTGCGCCGGCCCCGCGCGGGGCGAGCCCACCGCAGCGGCCCCGTTGGCACCGTCTCCCTGCACTGCCGGTAAGCGAAGCCGCCCGGCGCGGCCGCCCTCTTTTGAGCTGTTTCTTTTCCATGTTTCCCATCGTTGATTTACCAGGAGGCTTTTTTGATAGGTGACAAGGTGTGTACCCAAAGCGGGGGGTTAAAGCTGATGGTCTCGCTCTGCGGTCATGACAGGCTGCTGGTCAAAGCAACAAGGGACCAAAGACGTCTCCAGAATCCCGGAGTGGTTGAGGTTGGAAGGGACCTTTAGGGATCATCCAGCCCAGCCCCTGCTCCAGCAGGGACACCCAGTCCATCCAGGTGGGTTGGGAGATCTGCAGAGCAGGAGCCTCCGCAGCCTCCCTGGGCAGCCCGTTCCAGGGCTCGGGCACTATCTATGGTAGTGGTATACATCTATCTATGTATCTATGTGAAGTTCTTCCTCACGTACAGCTGGAGCTGCCTGGGTTTCCACTTGCACCCATTGCCCCTTGTCCTGTCTCTGGCCACCACCAAGAGCTCGGCCSCTTCCTCCCTCCCTTGGGACACACTGACAGGTCCCCTCTCCACCTCCTCCAGGAGGAGGACCCCGCTCGCTCTCTCTCTCCTCATGCAAGAGCTGCTCCAGTCCCTTCATGATCTCTGTTGCGCTCTGCTGGCCCCTCTCTCAGAGACCTCCGGAGCTGCCGGCTGCGTCCGGGCCCTCCTGGGAGTCTACGTCGGTCTGTCCATCCACGTCACTCTGTCCATGTTAGTCTGTCCCTGTCTGTCTGTCTGCTCGGGGGTCCAGGAGGCAACGAGCTCAACGTCCTCAATCACCAGCACGAGCTGCGGAGTTTCACGCTGATGCGTTTAAAGGAAGTGCAATGGGGTAACTGGGAGCTGACCAAATGATCCTGATGATTCTGACTATCAAAAATTAATTTACTGTATGGCAGCAGCCTCAGCAGGGGGTGAAGCCCACAGGCAGGAGAGAACATTGTCTCTGAAGATGAATGACGAGTTGTTTGGCTGCCATCAGGGAAAGCATTTGGGAAGATGAGGCTAATGAAAATGGGAAATAAATAAGACCTCTCTCAAAAGGCTATTTGGACCCGCAGGGTGAGCTGAAGAGGCAGTCTAAGAGTGTCACACAAATGGTCCCTGTGCAAAACCGACTGACGAGACCACGAACAACCTCCTGGGATCAGGAGGACGAGCTGCAGGCACCSGGGAAGCACCCAAAACCTTCCAGGAACGCGGGCTCCCCTAGCAGTGACCCGTGGGTTTGAAGAGGGGACAGAGAGAAAATACTTTGGAGGCTAAAAACGTGAGCTCCAGAGAAAAGAAATCTTGCACGAGGATTCCTGAGATGTGGGATGAAGAACAGTGACTTGACTGTTAATCAGGTGGGTTTGGTGACGGGGCAGGGTGGAACCAGTGCCAGAAGTGAAGGGCTGGAGTCRTCGCCAGCACCCACCAGCATCAGGAGCGCCTGTGTCAGGTTATGCAGGATGGAGAGGTCCGTTGCTGACGGATGGWCTTTGCTTTGCTGGGCAGGACAGCTCCTCTGTGCTGCTTCCTGGATGAAAAACTTCCTTGTGACTCACGGGGTCTCTGCCAGCAGAGTTGAGGCTTCTCTTTCCCAGAAGGAGGGAGAGAAGGCAGAGGGTTCTTCCCCTGCAGAACCTGCTGGGCTGAACCGACCTGCTCCCGTGTCATTAGTCAGTGGGGGACGGGATGGGTGAAGAGGTGACAGCACCACCCTGATAGGGGAAGCTAGAGCCGGCCCAGCTGAGCTCCAGGCAGCTGGAATAGGCTCAACAGGCTGCCAATTTCAACAGGTCTGATTTGGCTAAAGCTGCAGCAAACTGCACCATGGTGGAGAGGGCTCCTGGCTGCGATCTGGCCCGCACGGCCCTGGGCACGGGCTGCCCTCCCTCCCCACCCAGGAGGGACACAGAACACTTACCAGTAATACAGGCTGCTTGGCCCCACCAGAAGCAACGCGGACATGGGCATCCTGCTCTCCTCTTCCACAGGAGTGAAGCAGCCAGTGAAGTATATAAACAGTATGAGGAAGAAAGGGATGTACCTGTGAGGGGAAACAGACCTCCCATGAGGGGTGCGACTGGGAAGCAGCGCCTCGGGGTGCCCCGTGCTGGAGCATTCCCTGCTGGAGCGAGGCCTGGCTGCGTTTCTGCACGTGTTTATCCATTACATCTGTGTTACRGGCTCGGAAGCACCGAGATCCTCGTGGTCACGGACTCTCCTTGTTTTATTTCACCACATACCAGCCCTCAGCTTCCAGACAGGCACCAAACACTTTGCCAAGTGCTTCTGAAGCCAGCTGGACTTCTGGGGCTCCCGCAGGAAAAGCTGGAGTTTGCTGACTGGGTCAAACACCGTGTTCAGGCGTGTGGCTGAACTGCCTTTGTTGCACAGCCACACTCAAAAAGCTGCTTAGGCGCCTTGTGGTGTGTTAAACGCTAAGCTACAGGAAAGCAGGACGTGGCCCGGGATTTAAAGAAACTAACAGAGCCCTTATTTAAAAAAGAAAAAGAGGAATTTACTTTCAAATTCCAGGGGAATCTGACAGGAGAAGAGCTTTGTGCATGAGAGAGACCTCGGGGAGCTGGCAGCAGACGAAGGGCCCGGCGGTTCCTCCCGGGCAGAGCAGCAGGAGCAGCCGGGACGTGTCCCCGACGGGGGCTGCTCGGCCACCACGCGCGGACCAGGGGGGTGCAGGGGGGTGCCCGGCACGTCGCGGGATGCGGGAGCCTGACCTGGCTGGCGCAGGTGTGGGAAACGGGACCGTCGAGGCCTCTTTTGGGCGGGCAGGGGCAGCCAGCACCGTCTCTGCACTATAAACTGTCTCTTGCTCCGGCCATCCCATAAAAGAGGCCACTAAGGGGAGAGGGGAGAGGAGCTGCTCCTCAGTTCATAGCAACTGCCAAGCTGCACGTCCCGGAAACATCCGTGAGGACAACAGCGATGGAAAAAACTAATGGGAAGAGGCAGTTTTCAAAGGGAGAAATCCCCTGTAATCCCACCAGCTCTAAGAATATTACCTCTAACCCTATCTCATCAGCTGTGTTTTGTTTTTTCCCCACATATTAAGCTATGAGCAGATCTGCCTCTCCTCGTGTCGCGTTCTGAGGCCACGCTGCAAAATGCTTACCACATTGAATGACCTAAATACTCATCGTAGTAGTAGAGCAGCTCGAAGGAATCAATCTGAAATGCAATCAAACGGATTAAAAAYGACACAGTAACAGCACCCTATTAAATAAGAACAAACAATTAATATTTTTTAAGTGCGTGTATAAAGCACAGCCTCTTTACCAGTGTCTCTGGCTTCAAGTTTTTGATGATGGGGTTCTCTCTTACAGACAGATGGTGCTGGTAGCCACTGAAGATCAAACGATGGTTCACRGAGTCTCCAACCAAGTGGATGCTGGCTCCCATGACGAACACGATGATGCTGACGTACACCATTGATCTCGGCAGGGTCTTGGGGGACCTTTCAATGAGCTGAAAATAGAGAGACATGTGGAGCGCTGAGGAGGTATGAGAGAAGCATGGCACTGTGAGCGGTTCTGCCTCCTCTAACTTAATTATGGCTAGCAAAAATAATAAAGAAATCAAGCAAAAGCCTCTGAAAAATGCTGTGGGTTACAGTGCTACAGAAGATCTGATTGCTGTCCGTGGCTGTTAGCTGGGAAATGACCATAGCCCATTGTGGAAAAATCAGGGTGACTGGAGCTGAGGAGAAGGTGCTTTGTCCCTTGCAGTTGTGACCCCAACGCTTGTGTCTGACTCCYCTGCACCAGCCTGTGGGGCTCCCGGGTCTGGCTCTGCCCCCCTGCCCCACTGGGCACCAGCAAAAACAGGCTTGGTGGCCCTCTTGAACCTCTGGGCAAAAAGCACCCCTTGGAGTCAGCGCCCCGACCGAGTCAGTCATCCAGCACTCCTAACACGGCACTCAAAGCGATTTATTCACCAGATATGATCGAAAACATGATTAATTAGGAACAATAAAGCAGCTGCTTTCTGCAGTTCCTTTGCGAAATCTATTTGAAAGCCTCCCTGTGCCCTCCAGTGGTGAAAAGAACCTTTAGCATCACTCCAGCCGCGAGCACAGTGCCCTTAACTCCTCTGGTTAAGGGACATTTGCTCATTTATCATTCTCTGCTAGATGTT